AAATTATTCTTCACAATTGTTTTATGGCTATTCATATCCGTTTGCCAGGTAAGAACGTTGTCTCCAATGTTCTTGTTAACATAAAGTAATCAATTCACAAATAACTGCACGCAATTTGTCATTTAACTTGATTGAAATGTATTCTCTTTTTATGAAATATGTTGTGAATAACTCAACAAATTAAATTGCAGATGATGCTAAAGAACATCTGAACACTTCAGTGTGGCCAGAGCAAAAAATAAATATAATCTAAAAAAACATTTTCCTGCGTTTAAATCGTTAAAATGATTATAGGATATTATTTTCTAAATTTATACGTAATCTTTGCAGTATACTTTATATTATACATTAACTTTCATTATCAGGTTTTCAAATCTATGGAAAGTGGGCATTGTTCTTTCAATAGATTTCATTACACTACACAAAGATTAGTATTTTGTATTTACTTAGTAAGTGTTCTGATCAAGCTGTATCTGATTATATTAATTTACTAAACTGCACGTTCAGTAAAATTGTTTTTGACTTGTACTTTCAAGACTAAATTTGTGATTTTAGCAAATAAAAGGATATCCGGTCAGACATTTCACACTGATTTTATCATTATCAATAGAAAGAGATATGATATGATATCAATCAAGAGATATTACTAAAGGATCGAGTCGATTGTAACGATAGAAAGTCAGAATTGTCAGAACAATAATTATCTTGATTGATTTATATATTTCACTAACAGCCGCCCGCGACTTCGTCCGCATTAACTTTAGTTTGAGGAGAATCCCACAGGAACCTAACATTTTCCGGAATAAAGAGTATCCTTTAATAACATAGGCCCACAAAAAAAGTACCCTGCGCGAAAGACGTTTTTTTTAACAACATAAACCATATTATATAAAATAACATAAATTTTCAGCATTATTGCTGATTTCTGAAAAAACGCGAACCAACTTCGCTATTCTGGCACCATATTTGGACTCAGCGACCCCGAAATCAAAGTTCAGGTAGTCTGGTCTTTCGCGCAGGGTAATTTTTTTCATGTGGACCTGTATAATTTAATGCAGGTCAGAAACTATATGCGTATCTAATTTTATCCGAAATCGTTCAGTAGTTTTCGCGTGACAAACACGCAAACTTACAAATTTTCACATTTATAATATAAGTAAGATAAATTTTCTTTTCTATAATATGTAAGTAGCAATGTAATGGATCACATATAAATATCGATTAGATTGTTAAATGTAGCATGTACAACAATATTTACTTGCAGAAAAGCTAAAGGTGCGTTTGCTAAAAAAGACATCTTTAACAAAGATTAAAATCAAACTGTCCATATTTTCTCTATAACAGTGTAATGAGTACAAGTTTCTAGTTGTAAACTCAATATTTAACTATTAAAGTAGTGTGTTGCTTTTCTTATTGTTGTAACGACAAATATATTTAATACTGCGTTGTAAAGGTTTATAGGCATTAAGCTATTGCCGTCTGAGAAAATAATACATATATTTGTTATCAATCTCCGATCGTATATTCGACATTGTTGCTTGTTATCAATTTTCCTAGCATTACGTTATTAAATTATGCGTGCATTATTTTCCATTCTTATTTAGTCATACTTGTATTTTTTGAAATCATGAAAATAACAAACTTGGAATGTAAACTTTGCTAGGTTCTGCTTTGAATATATTTAGAAAGTAAGTCATACGCCGTGACCTCTGGGATGTTCATGGCGTCAGAATTAATGCAGCCATATTGAGTTCAAGCAAAGATCCTCATTTGCGGAGAAAGTTGGTTGAATATACTGTTTCTAATGAGAAAAATGAAAACATCTCCGCAGCAGTTAAAACATAACAAATATCGTTATATATTTTTTTTATTTTTATTTTAACTATAATTGCTATTTCTTCTTTCAAATGTTTAATACTTGTAAAGGTATAAATTTGACATTGATGGGTTACCTACAATGATAAGAGATGATGCTGCCTTACAGCTTAAGAAAGGCAACAAAGAATTCGACACGGCCGTCAGGGCCGCGGTAGCATAATGATCAGTGCATTCTGGTTCGAGTCCCGTCTGATTCTGTCTGTTCCTTTAATTCTTACGCCAAAACCTTTTGATAAGCACCACAATATTGAATAAGAAACCAATAAAACCACACAAATCGTTATTCGACTGTTAACCAGAACGCGAAGACCCATCTTACCCCTATTGCTATGAAAGACGTCCGTAGTTATATCGATTACAATAGTTCTTATTAAATTGGGTACATGACTCACCGTGCGCGTAGCCAAACGAAAAGCGTTCTTTGATTATGTCGCGAGGGCCGAATGCCAAATGTTTGTGTCTCAAACAATTTCGAGGCGTCTTAAAGTGTATAAGTTTAAGGTTCATTTTTCATTAGAAAATTACTGACGTCAATGTGTGCGACACTGCGTTCATAACAATAGTTTGGCGCTTAATGCACGTCACACACAATCTTCTATTGTTGCCGGTGGATCTTATACGTGTGGTAATTCTATAATACAGAATTGTTGTTCATTATGATGATATGGTAGGCATAAGACACGGACAATTTTATGAATCTGAACTTTATTCATAATAAATGAGAAATCTTAATTACTGTTACTTAAAACTTAATGAGGTCTTTTAACAAAATTCTTATTGAAATATTCGATGGTTGGGCGCGGATGTGGAAGAAAGCCTGAATATAATTTAAGAAATATATCATGCAATGTATTGATGATAATACTAACTATTATTTTGATAGAAATTAGGGTCTTCTATATTTAAAACAGTAGATTTGTTATAAATACTTATTTTGTTCCCTTCAAATATATCTATGAAATATTCTATTTGTATAAAAAAGTTGCATTTTGTGAGTGCCATGTTGATGTTTCGCAGGCGATCTTAAAAGGGTGACTCACATTCGGTACACAACTCTACATCGTGGGCCAACGAACTCTGTAAAAAAGTCCTCAGGCATGAGCGAACATGTCTGTACTATAAAAGAACACAAAAAAATCACCAAAGGAAATGTTCTTGGCTACGTAAGTCATTAATTCAATGTGCCCACTATTGTTTGTACCTACCAATACGTTAGAAGACTTGCCATTCAGTTATACAATTTCCTGCGATGAATTTATGGAAATCACAGAAATATGATACCTCTGTCAAACCAATTGCAATTATAATTTTGTCAATATAGTTAAAAATCATAAACTTTTTACATTAGTCGTCCTAACATCTCCTCTTCACCACTTATTTACAAATCGCTTACTGATTGATCCAAATTATGAGTTACTATAAAATAAAAAGCATTCAACAAAAAAAAAAACATTACATGTTGTATATTTTAATTTGATCACTCATAGAGTTTTCTACATATAGGCTCTACATGCAACATGCGCATACCCATCGCCGATCTTGTTTTCAACAGATCGACTTTGTTTTGTTTCATTGTTTAATCATCTCGGCTTGACTTCCTGTTAGAATTATGTTTAGTACATTCAAGTTTCAATTCTCCATGCTTTGTTTTAGCTTTGTAATCTTCAGAGAATTGTCGTACCTACTCGTATCAAATGTCAACATAATGGGTTGTAGGAAAGTTCAAAAATAATATCTAATATCTTTTTCTTTCTCTATTTCTCTTTCTAACACCCAAAACTTCCCACAATATTAAGGGAGATCTTCAAAGGGGGAATAAAGAAGCAATTTTGGTGTCAGCAAAGGCAAAGTAAAGACAACTAGTGCATCACTCTTTTTTCGCTTGAAGTTATTATAGGTAACATAATGATTTATTATATCCTAAAATAGAAAAATATTACTATTTAACACTGAATCAAATTTCACAGTATAAAATTTGTCGATATATTTCCTAGATCCTTTTATATTCCTATTCAATATATAAGATAAATTATCATTGACAATATTCACATATTTATTTTAGTAATTGCACTTAATGTGGATTTTTTATTATAAGGGTTAACTTTTAATAAAAAAAAACAGGAATATTGAAGAGCAAAAGTTCAATATGAAATTATTAACACATAGTCCCTTCATTAACGATTCTTAAGGCATTCCTCCTACTGGGAAGTCATCCAATGCAAATACAAAATAATATAAATGACAGTTTACAATGACATAGCTTAGTTGCAGATGGAGTTGATTTTGTAAAACCTTTCATACTTTCATGTAAATTACTTAAGATACTATTTATATGGAGCTCGTACAATTGCGTGTATTTCATCTGTGGCGTGTCTTTTTAACATAGTACCGTTCTCTCGAGTTCAATGTTTCAATTAAGTTATATACCTCGTTAGTAAGTATGATTCTCTGCTCCGGAGACAAACAGATTGTTCTTAACGAAATTCTTTGTAATTAACTTTGATTAAAGCATTACTATTGTCAATGAGGAAATATTGTACATATTTCTATATGTTATTGTTATAATGTTATGCTAACTAGGAAACTGGAAACGGTAAGAACAGTTGCAAGAGGTGACTAATGCGTGCAATTGATATCACACAGTAATAAAAACAACCTACATTATAAACTGATACGGCTAACCGCAGAGCAGGCAGCTGATGATCCGGGTAATATAAACATACCAAACTACGAAGAGACCCGTGTAGATAAATAACAAACTGGTAAAGATATAGGCGATGGTCGAGTACATACTATAGATGTAGTTAGTTTCACGTTTGTTCCTAATACATATTCATGACAAATAGAAATGAGATGCTGCTATCGGTTTGATATCGGACGGCATAGGTAATATGAAGAAGTGGCTGACTTGTAGTAGTTTGACGAGTTCAAAAGAACACATAAGTAACGGAATCGCGACCGCAACAAGCTTTCCTACAAACGATACGCAAAGGCATATTTACAAAAGATTACTTACAAACAATTCCGACTTGGCAGAGTTAAACTCGTGAATAAATCCAGTCTGATTAACATTACACTTATAAATACCGACAAATGCCGGGCAAAAAATCGATATTACTTACATTTTATAAATGAAATCCTCGAGAAAATTATTCTGTTCACGCACTTTTGAATACAAACACGGTTTTTGGAGATAACACAAGAATTTGGTATGGCTGCACTGCAGTCTCTTAACCTATCGTTATAATAATTAACGTTTGAATGTTTATTGATAAAGTTCGTCACGGGGACACCTGAACACGTGCTCCCCCTAGCGGCTCCTCTAGGTTACTGATGACGTGAAGTTTGGCGGCAAGGCAAATACTGTGCTGGTTAGGGTTGGCAAATCGAGAGGTCAAAATATTTGGATAACATTTCAAAATTGCGGGATTCTGGGATTGTTTTCGGGAGATGCCCCGCCCTTCGACGTACTACTCAACCCCTGGGCTGTGTAGCCATCTACTTTGTTTTTCACGGCCGGAAAATCAAAAAGTTCTCCGGATGGTATTCCTCTTATTATTCGAGTTCTACTGTACACCCAGGCTTCATTTATGTCTTAAATCAATCCTGAATAGTTTCTCTATAAACTTATCTATTTATTAGACGTGTAAATTAAAAACCATTACTAAATATGATAAAATAAAAATATAAAAAATGAAAATATAAAAATAATTTTCTCAACTCGTGGCAGAAAAAATCCACTTACACACACGAGGGGTTAATCAAAACGCGAACAGTACATGAGCCACAAACTCGGTACTATTTTCAAATAATATTTCGGCACAGGGTAAACAAAAAGTACATCGTCCTGTTCGTTTGTCGGTAGATTTCGTAACTTGTCGGGTAAATCCAGACGATTCCCGTCCATCTGGCAGCCCTAGTGCTGGAGCGCTGTCTGACGTTTGGTAAACGAAAGGCCTTAGCTCAACGTTATGTTTGAACTACACCTTTAAGCTTCAGAGTTACGGTTGCATTTGTGTCACGTTCGTCTGGTACGGTTTCGCTCCACATGCATCGTGTATGCCACGCCGCTACGGCCGTTTACGCATTTCTTTTGAGACGAGAGAAAAGGCGAAAGGACATCATGACCGGTGCACCAGACTGGTTGTTTGCGACGCAATTATCTCAACAACTGGTAGCGCCGTGAAATCGACTTCGGTGTAATATAATATGGTCTTATTGGCTATATTATTTTAGAAGCCTTTGAATTGGAGATTTATTTATTTATTTCATTCTTTATTATCATTGAACAAACTTTTTTTTATTATTCTGTTGATGTGATTGATATACTTACATATTTCCACAAAATTGCAGCTCTATAGTGCTAACAGTCTTCAAGCAAGACCGGGGACGGACAGACGGACATGACGAAACTATAAGGGTTCCTTGTCAGGACTACGGAATCTTAAAGCGATGCTGGACAGCGACAGATCCTGGACTGCGGTATTCTCCCCCCCCCCCCCCCTCATCCCGAGCAGCCGCTGAGCCAGTTTGGCTGGGCGGGATGTGGGGGAGGAGGAGTCACACTCGCCCCTGGGTGAGAGACGGGGTCTGTCGCCCAGGGGCGGATCAAAAAAAAACGGACTGCGGAACCTTAAAAAAGAAGCAAATTCATACAAATACATTTATAATATCTAAATAATATACATTCACCGTACTTAAAAATGCCTACACATAAAATATACACTTTCACAATATTAAAACTTATCTTGATGAATGACTTTGGCTCATAATTTATTGTTGGCGCTTCGAAGCGCTTTATTCGTATTTTCTTAAAATTTTCTTTCCACAAAGATCATGAATATGCTATTTGCCGTCAAATTTTATTATGCAAACAGTAATAGCTATGTGAAGTACCAGAAAAATTATCCCGAATAAGTAAAAAATATTATGCGAGTAAATAACTAGGTACTTACTTGAACTTACGGTCCTCGTAAGAACTGGAAAAAATCTAAGTTACTGTCCTTTCATAGTTTTGGATGATATAACATTAATTATACCGTTAAAGCTAAATATCTAAATTGAGGGAAGTATCTATTTTTTTATCCGCCGTAAAAATGGTTTAGTTCTTATTTGTATTGATTAAATAATCCTGTACCATCATATTCTACTCATTAGGTGCAGAATAATAATCTATTACACTCGGTCATCCCCGTGTTAAACGACGACAGGGTGATACGACAAAAAAGTGTGCCGCTCCAACTACCTTGCTAACCTAAACCCAATTCTTGACGGTGGGTCACCGTGGAGTTTATTAAATTTTACAAATTATAAAAAAAATGTACGTACGAACTACACATGAAGTGAAACTTCTTTTCTTAATTAACCTAATTATGCGGTGCCTTAGGCATACGGGAATGGAGCAGTGCACGCATCACTCATATATATATATATTGTCGCTCGTAGCGTTTCAGCCTTCGCCGAGTTACTCTCCAGCTTTCATGCACGTCGGGAAGAGCTGCACTCCATCCGCAAAAAAGTTTTACTTCAAAAGACTATAAAAAATGCCCGAATGTCGTAATGCACTCAGTTGGATCGAAGTTAAAAATAAACATAAGTACAACATAACTACACACAGCACGCTACCAATCAGCGTCGGTCATGAAGGAGAATCCATACACTTTTTTTTGCCTATGCTTCATCCGCCAAATCCGTACCGTGTGCTAACTTCGTTTCAATAATACGAACAGTCAAAATATATTCTTGAATATATTTGAATTGTCGTTTCTTGAATCGGCTCAGGAATTTTCTCCCCATTAAAACAAAAATTTTGCTTGTAACATCTCTTATATTTCCGCTCATTGATTATGCTGATGTCTGTTATCCCGATCTGAATGCTGATCTTTTAAATAAATTGGATCGTCTTTTAAACAATGCCATTCGCTTCATCTTCTGTCTTCGTAAATTTGACCACATATCTGCTTACAGGTCTCAACTAAAATGGCTCCCTATACGTCAAAGAAGACAGCAGAGAATGTTATGTACTCTGTATTCAATTCTCTTTAACCCACATTCTCCAGAATATTTAAGATCTAAATTTCAGTATCTTTGTGATACACATAACCTTCAACTTCGTTCTACTGATACTCTTGCTCTATCCCAACCTCTCTTTCACTCTGGCTATATGTCTGATTCCTTTGCCCTTCAATATTCACGACTCTGGAACAGCCTCCCTGACTCCATTAGAAAGTCACCTAATAGGTTCATTTTTAAAAAGAAAATTTTTGAAATGCACTTCTTCTGGATAGCCTTCCACACTAACGGTAAACTCATTTCCTAGGTCCCTTTCAGTGTCATCATCGATATATCTAATATATAAAATTCTCGTGCCGCGGTGTTTGTGGTTTAACTCCTCCGAAACGGCTCGACCGATTTTCGTGAAATTTTATATGCATATTCAGTAGGTCTGAGAATCGGATGTAATCTATTTTTCATCTCCCTAAATGTTAAGGGTAATCCACCCCTAAATATTTTTTTTCAATTTTAGATATTTTTTTTTTATTTTTTTATGATACATCATACAAAAATACATACATCCCTAAATTTTCAACTTTCTACCACCAACCCCTATTTTTTTATGGCGGTACGAAGTTCGCTGGGTCAGCTAGTCTTATATATAAAATTCTCGTGTCGCGGTGTTTGTGGTTAAACTCCTCCGAAACGGCTTTCCCGATTCTCATGAAATTTTGTGTGCATATTGGGTAGGTCTGAGAATCGGACAACATCTATTTTTCATCCCCCTAAATGTTAAGGGTAATCCACCCCTAATTTTTTTTTTTTTAATTTTAGATATTTTTTTTTATGAAACATCATACACAAATACATACAGCACTAAATTTTCACCCTTCAACCACCAACTCCAAATCTCTTTAATGGGGTATAGGAAACAATATGGTTTTACTAGAAGTAGATCCACTACTGATGCGGGTGTTGCACTTGTAAGAAGTATATTGGAGGCTTGGGAGAGGTCGCAGAATGTTCTTGGAGCGTTCTGCGACTTATCCAAAGTTTTTGATTGCGTTGATCATCACACGTTGTTATTGAAATTGAGTCATTATGGAGTCAAAGGTACTGCATATAAATTGATACAGTCGCACTTCAGTTCCAGAATACAAACTGTAGAGGTAAATGGTGTTAGATCGTCTGGATCTCATGTGGAGATGGGCGTTCCCCAGGGTTTTATTTTAGGTCCCTTTTAGTATATGTAAATGATTTGCCATTTTTTGTGGAAAATTTGTGTGAGATTGCATTATTTGCTGATGACAAATCTTTATTATTTAACGTTGACAGGCGCAGGAACAACTATGACGATGTGAATAATGCTCTCTCGCAAGTTCTGCAATGGTTTAATGTCAATAATCTAAAGCTAAATTTATAGATATTAACGGGATTGTTACCATGTACCTTGTTTTTTATGAGTCTCCGATATTTCGGCACTGTTGCAAGCGCCATGATCACGGAGTAACTGGAATCCCGTTAATATCTATAATGTTAGTGACCATGAAAGTTTAAAACAATATATCTAAAGCTAAATGCTAATAAAACCAAGTGTATTCAATTTTCTTTACTTAATGTAAAAGTTGAGCATATTGGAATTAAATTAAATAATGAAAAACCAGATTTAGTAGACTTGACTAGATTCTTGGGTATAACGATAGACTCAAAACTGCAATGGAGTCATCACATTACGCTTTTGGCTGGTAAACTTAGTTCAGCAGCTTATGCCATAAGAAAGATAAGACAACTTACTGATATAGATACTGCCAGGCTGGATATTTTAGTTACTTTCATAGTATCTTATCATACGGCATTGTACTCTGGGGAACAGCAGCTGATATTGAAAGTATATTCATTCTGCAAAAAAGAGCTGTGAGATCTATTTATCAATTTAGTAGCCGAACATCTCTTAGAGAAAAATTTAAAGAAATTGGCATTTTGACTGATGCTTCTCAATTCATTTACAATTGCATAATCCTTGTTAAAAATAATATCAATTTGTATACCAAACACAGTAACGTGCACATTTTAACACAAGAAATAGGAACAAGCTTGCATTGCCACCTTACAGGTTACAGAAGGTTTACCGATCTTTTATGGGTCAAGGTATACATTTTTACAATAAAATTACTGATGCTGTTCTTGAGTTACACATAAATGAGTTCAAATGTCACATTAAAAATTGTTTACTTAAGAAAGGCTATAATACTATTAAAGAATACTTGAATGACAAAACTGCATGTCGGTAACTGCAAAATTGTTTTGTATTTGTTTGCAGTATCGTACAGATAAATTACCT